TGTGTTAGCCAGGATGGTCTCGATCTCCTGACCTCGTGATCTGCCCGTCTCAGCCTCCCAAAGTGCTGGGATTACAGGCGTGAGCCACCGCGCCTGGCCAGGTGGCTGATTTCAAGCTGTCAATGTGATGTCACTCAGTGCAGAGCTGAAAGGAGATGCACATGACCAGCAATTAGGAAATGGATGTGACTCCAATACATTAAGCCCAGTTATGAGTAAATGTGTGCAGACATGCACAGAATGTATAAAATGGATAAACACGCAGTGTTAGCAAGGGTGTGTGAGGAGAGGCCAGCTGTGCATGGATGTGTGCATGTCAGGACACATGTGCCGTGGGATACACATGTGAGAGAGACTCAGACACGAGGGGGCTCAGGACCCAGTGTACCAGAAGGCTGAAGGTTAGCCTACAAGCAGAACTTCCTGCCAAGAGATGGGGGGACAGAATCTGGAAAATGGGAAGCAGAGCTCCCTCTTGACTCCTCCTCTACCCTCCAGAACTTCCTACAGCTGCAGTCTTCCAGAAGTAACCGCTTCGCCTGGATGGGACTTTCAGACCTAAATCAGGAAGACACGTGGCAATGGGTGGACGACTCACCTCTGTCAACCAGGTAGATCTCAGAAGGGGCACCCTATCTACTGGGGCTGGAATCGTCAAACTCTGACTTGAACTTTCCCTGGGGATCCTCCCCAACTCCCTGACACCCTAGATCCAAGAATCTGGGGGTTTTTACTGAGTTAAGTGGTCTTCATACTCACCTGCAGACAGCATGGCAGGTGCCTAGAATTCCACCAGCAGAGCTGCAGGAGGAGCTTAGCCCATGGGTGGGTGTGTTAAAATATAGTGTATTAATAGGAAGTCTGAGGTCTAGTAAGGCCACCAGCTCAGGAGACACCTGCCATTGTGAGTAGCTTGTCATATTGACAGATCCCTAGAGAATGGACACATCACAGCTCATGAAGCACCAGGTGGGTCATGAGACAGAGAGGGGGCAACTGTCAGCCAGAGCCTTTATTATAGATTCCGTGGGAAGGAACAGACAGGGCCAGGCAAGGAGGCTTAGCATTGGCAGGTATGAATCCTATATCGGCAGGCTCTGGGGGGTAGGTTCTGTCCCTAGCTGTCTGACACTTGGCTCGGGCGGGTCACCTGAGGCCAGGAGTTCGAAACCAGCCTGGCCAACATGGTGAAACCCCATTTCTACTAAAAATACAAAAAGTAGCGGGGTGTGGTGGCATGCGCCTGTGGTCCCAGCTACTTGGGAGGCTGAGGCAAGAGAATCACTTGAACATAGGAGGCGGAGGTTGCAATGAACTGAGATCACGCCACTGCACTACTCCAGCCTGGGTGACAGAGTGAGACTCTGTCTCAAA